AACAGTACTTCTGTGGCTGTGAACTTAATTGGGTCCTCCAATATACTGTGCTAGTGGTTATTTTCCCTGTAACAATGTATCCTGAAATGTATCCTGCAAGGAGGATGGAAAAAGAGTTTGAAGTAGAGAGCAGGTAATATTTTGATTTAAGAGGTTAATATTAAATGACTTGTTAAACAGTTGGCCAGATGTAATAAACAGAGCTTGGAAAAAAGGCAAAAATATTCCCTTGGTTCCCCACCCCAGCGGTTCAAGGAATAGATTTCCTTGAACATAAAGGCCTTTAGAAAAGTGACTGAAATGAAAAGATGTCGTGTCCTGAGGGGGAGTGTGCACACACAGGGGTCTGAGCTCAGAGGGGCAGCAGGGAGGGAACAGGAGGAGACAGAGAAGAGAACCTTTCTCTTGCTAAAAAGCTGGGAGAAAAACTCCTCTTAGAATCAGGTTGTACTGCAAAATGACCTTGTGACTCTGATGGTGAAGAAAAGCCCCTTTTGGATTCTGGGAAAATTTTTAGCCCCTTCAGGGTATCAAAAAAAGAGAAGAGCTGAGCTGGGGCATTGGGTACTGAGGCATGCCAGCTTCAGAATGCCTTCAGTGATTACTGAATTCAGGAGACTTTAATGAGCACTGGCTCCAGAGAGAAAAGTAGTCCCAGTGGTAATCAGGCATTTCATTTACTGAGATGACCAAAATAAAGGCTGCAAAGTGGTTTTAAGTCTGACAGGCTACCTTTTGGAATATTTTTCCTAGGTGAGTGCCATGAGTTTCACTGCATTCCTCTCTCAGCCAAACTGGGATTTAAGAGATTTCATACAAACTGTAAATGGAGAGCTGTATGTACATGTGGTGATTTCTCATACCTTTATTTATTACAAATACTGAGAATACCTGCAATGCCCTACAAGCACGTGCTTTGCTGCAGCTGTTTCCAAATGGTTTTTCCACTTCAAGGCTGGGAACAAAGGTGAAAACAGCACCACAAAAGCATGGATGGTGGATGTTGTGTTTTTTAATTGCACATTTCTGTCTCCCTTGCAGAAGCTGAGCAGTTCCTCTGCAGTGCTGCATTCAGCCCCACTGCTCTGTCTAACCCCCAAGCTCACCAAATTCCTGCAAGGATGAAATCCAACTGCTTGTTAAATGGGGAGCTGCTCCAGGAGTCCAACAAAATGCTGATACTCATTTTTAATTTATTAACTGAACCCTTGAAAGCATTTCTTTGGCAAATAGCTCTGTTTGTAGCTCTGATAATTACTGAATAGGGATAATCCAGCCCTTCCTGCTATTCCATGGTATACTGGGAATATACACATTGAATCATTTGGTGCCCCAAGTTTGGCTCAGATGCCAGGATGAGTTAGTGCATAGTTAAATATCTGGCAGATTAATAAAAAGCCTTCCCATCCTCCTTCCATGTGCAAGATTCTTGCAGTGAAAATGTATGTGAGGAAAATAAAGTATTGGAAAAATAAAGCCATCTGTTGTGAGAACAGCAAAGCTTGTTGAAAAATGGTGTCTGCTCTGAAATGGGCACAAAACAAACAAACAAAACCCCTCCCTGTGATTCTAATTTCTTCCAGTTGCCTTAGTTCAATAAATATATCCCATTCTTTTCCTCTCCTCCACTGAAATGTAGTTTCTGAGCTTTAGAGGGAAGAGCTGTTTTGAAATGAGTAATTGAACCATTCAGTTTTCATTCCTTAGGACAGAAACAAGACTTTTTTTTCCCAAACAAAACACTTGAGTGTAAGGTTTGACTCCCGCAGGAGTTCATCCAAAAAATGCATAAATCTGGGGAAAGTTTATATTTAAAGACAGGGGCATTTTTCAGTGAAAAATATTAAGTTTGAAAACATTAAATGTGAAAGTTTCAGCCAGAAATAGTGAACAGGGTCCAAAGGCTACTTGAGTCAACAAATTACTGAAGAAAAGCCATAAATGGTATAACGTAACCTTGAAGGAAAATTGAAATGACAGCCCTATGGCAGGAAAGAAAAGTGAGTTACAATTACAAAATCAGGCTGTCAATAATTTGCTCCTCCACCAATACAAGTTTCCTGAAAAAAAATTCCAGCTGGTCTCCAATTTTAGGTGGCTTTGGGAACAGTAACGAGCACATGACAGGTAAGAACCACTGGATGGATGGAAATGGGAGCAGGAAGGGCCTCATTTCTCATTTCTCTTTGCCCACACTTAAGCAACACTTTGAAGAGTTTTCCATCATAGCTGACCTTAACAGAATTCCTACATAAAAGGAGAAAACTCAGTGTCCTGTTAATGTTTAGCTCAGGTCTCAATTTCATGTGTTCAATGTTGAGTTACAAAGTTACTGAATTAAAGAGCACAACATTTCTAAAGTCAAACCAAAACTTTGTATCCTTCCCCTTTTCAGCTATCACCATGGTTCTGTGCACTCCAAATAGTTGGAATTAATTAGTGGCAACTCTGCAGGAAGGAAGAGCAGAGATTGTACAAAAACTGAAATAACCACAGCTCAAATGCATCACTCAGCGCATTTTTTAGAAATATACATTGGCAATATAATCAAATATTCATCCTCCTCTAAAAAGCCATTATTACAAATCCGTTCTTTACCTTCAGATGTTCAGTGCCACATTTTCTGAAGATTGATCTTGAGAGAATTTCAGGTTTTATATGTGATGTAAGATTTTGGTTTTTTTCTGAAGGGTATTCCTAGCTGTCTTTCCCAACTGAATTTCCATTTTCACATCTTGAATTATTTGTGTTGCTAAAAGCTGGGCTGTGTGTTACCTTTCAGGCTCCCAAAGTGTCACATTCTGAACTGGAGGGATCCTGGCAAGGCGGTTCCTGTGGGTGCTCCGAGGGATGGCAGAGCTAGGGCTGTCACCCCCACATACAGACATTCCCAGTGCCAGGTGGGGACAGCAACTTTCTAAATTTACACTTCTTAATGACCTAAAAATGCTAATTCAGAGACTCATTACAGTTGATATCATCCCTACCTCTATTCTGGAAAGCAATTAACCAGTTTAGAAAGTGGCATGTCCCTAAATGCTCTCCAAAATCATAGAGATTAGGGACCATCACTCTGGATTAGGCAATGGATTACAACATGGAGAAAAAGGGACACAACTGATAGGGTTATGTCAAGAAAAGGAAATTATGCTGTTTGATTGATGCACCCAATTAAAATTGTCTGAAAGAGCTCAAATTCAATCACAGGCACAGGGAAGTGCTCACAAATGCTCTGAAGAGCAGTAACTGCTTGTACAAATTATTTAGGAGAAAACTTGTTGAAGAAAATGTGTTGGAGAAAATCTAAACTGCTCTGGAATAGAAACTGCCCAAAGTCATTAAATTATTCACTAACCATCATTTGTTCAGCTCGGTGTATCACAAAAGTTATTGATTAGGAAGTTTATAGGAGTTGGATGTATTTGTGGAAATGTGTTTCTCTTCCTTCTTGTTACTTTGTAGCATGTTGGGGTTTTCTTAAAAAAATGCAGAGGGATTAAGTTGTGCATTATTTATGGCAAATGGCTCCCTACTCAAATCCTGAGCTAATGGGAATGGCACCATGAGAATTTTTAACTATTCAATATTGCATTTCACTTTTCAAAATGAACAACCTTTGCCTAAAAAATACATTGGACATAATGAGAGAAAAGCCAAGCAGAAATCATAGACATAATACATATGGAAGAATAAAAGCTTTCTGGTGGATATTTATCAAAATCTTTGTTGTTTGAAAAACAGGATTTTTTTTTTTCTCTTTTTCCTCTCTTTACTTCAGCACAGCAGAACTTTACCCAGGTGAGATTCAACAGCTTTTTACTTTACAGCAGCACAAATTCTTGAGACTGGGCAGTGTTGGATATCATTTGTTACAAATCCTTGGAAGTGCCTGGCAAGGGATCCACTGTTCACTAACAGCGACAAAAATGCCTCATCTGGACCAGTGAATTCCAAGTGTGTGGGAGGAGGTTTCCTCCCAAAGCCACAAAATGTAAATCCCTATTTCCAAATGTGCAGAGGTGTGGGGTTGCTGCAGCACTCCCTGAGATCAGGGAGGGACAGGAGTGAGAAATGGCTCGTGTGACTGGGGTGGGATGGCCTCTACTGGAAGTGGAGGGGAAAGTAGGATGGGGAATGCTCACCCTCTGATTCCTCTGATCTGGCATATGTTTTTAATCTCTTGGAAGGAAAGGCAGAGTTTAAGCCTAGAGAGGATTACTCTGGTAGTTTTCTGTTACTTGTGCTTTGTAAACGTAGGCTTAATATTTTAAGTGCCTTGCCCTGTCCCAAATCTCCCAAACTTTGGCATGCTGTTATTTCTGGATTTGGCCCCTATGCAAAATCAAAGGTAGTGAAATTCCTTTAGAGTATGGATGAAAATCCAGACTGTGGGTGTGGACCTGTAACAACAGCCTGCTCTCTGACTGTGATACTGAAACTCCTCCAGTGGAGCGCCTGTGCTGCGGATCTCCGAGCAGGAGGTGCGGATGGAGGTGCCAGACTGTTCCCAAGAATCTGTGACTGCCAGCTCAGCACACGGCTATTGTTACATGAGAATGTGCAAAATAATTGGGGCTGATTTCCGTGTCCCTTCTGGGAGTTTCTGTGCCACAGCCACAAATCCTGGATGCTGAATGCTAACATATGCCAGTATGGAAAGGGCCTGTTGCTTTCAGCAGAAGCAATTTTACAGCCTTTATTTCCTGCAGACTGACAGGATCCACTGTGGCAGCACCAGGAGAATGCTGGGCACTGCTCAGTGAGGGGCTGGAGAAAGCTGATGACTAAAAATGACAAAATCATCTCTCTTTTTAGGGCTCTTGTCCCTTTTCCAGTTACTCTGGGAAGGTTCTTCTATTGCAGTGTTAAACCCTTTATCACCGGTGGCCTGAAAGCAACAGATGTTTGAGTGTTACAGATTATTTAGACAATCTCTTCCTACTGAAGAAGTTCATAACTACTGAAGCAACAGCACAAGGAAAATGCAGAGTTATGCTTACCAAGGCTTAGGGTTGATATTCAGTGTCCACAACTGGAGTTGCAGGAATTAAGCAGAAGTGATTTTTAATGAGGAATTGCAATTGGTTCCTTGCTCCCTGGCAAACTGAAAAAGACACAAAATCAATCAAAACTCAGTGCAAATTATTCATCTGACTTGACTGACTTTAGCACAAACAGCCCAAGGTGGCAGCAATAAAAGGCCCTTTGCTCTGAGGGGCAGCAGAGCCCTGAATCCAAAGCACAGCTGATTTAGAAAGCTCCAGTCTGGGTCTCGGGTCCTTTCCCATCCCAGCTAAACAGACACTTGTAACTTCCCAGACTCTGCAGGGAATGCAGTGGGTGTTTAATGCAGGGAGAAAGTGCAGGAACCACCAACATTTCACACCCAGTCTTAAAAAAGGTACCAAGCTGGATTAGGAGGATAATGAATCTTTCAGATGAACAAATGTTCAAATCCTGGAGCAATGTGCTGGTGAGACAGAGGTTTAATGAACTCTTTAGAGGTGGTGTAAATTGGCACAGCTTCAATGGAGCCCACAAAAAACTGGCCTTGGCTTTATATAAATACACAGTAACAATCTTCCTCTCTTCTGTCAGGAAGCTTTTATCCTCAAAAGCCACGTTCTATGCGAACTATCTTCATCATTTTTCCCCCATTTTAAGCTACAGGCTCTGGCCTCTCTATTTAACTGTAGTATTTTCTATCAGAAAATCAGGCAGTGCTTTCTAAGTGTAGCTCATGTGCTGAATTCAGCTGTCACAGCTACTTGTGCTGCCTTGGGTAATTGGTTCCTCACAAATCTTTATCTAAAATAAAAAGGCAAATAACTGTTAAAAACCAGAACCTAAACAGAAGCAGTAAATTAGCCCACAAATTTATTTTACTGCTGCGTTTTGCTTGGATTTACTCAGCCCATAAATCAGAGCTGAGCAGGAAGTTTGCAGGGCAATGGTCACGAGGGGATGAGCCCGGAGCCATAAATGTTAAAGCTGAGGAGGCTGAACCAGGAATGATCTGAGCTCTCCTCCACACAGGGTCTGCAGGTTCTGCTGCTTCCTCAGGATCACAGGCCTCTGTCTCACATTTTAAACACTTGTAGGATTGTTTCAGGGATAATTCTTTAACCGTAAGATGGGAGGAGGTTGGTGGAGACCCAGCTTTGTCCAGTGGGCAATGGTTGGAGCCACCACTCAGACCACAGGACAGCAGGATTTGTCTTCCTCTTTAGCCCCTTTGGTTTGAACTTGTGTGCACAGAAAAGTGCTGGGAAGTAGGAGTGGAAGAGGGCAGGAAGAGCAAGGGAAATGATGGCTGAAAGAATTGTGAGGGAGTTTCAGGCAGGGCAAGGCAGAGGGCCTTGCTGGACTGAGCCTTCTGTCTCCTAAAGAACATTTCCAGGAATTGTCTAAGCCCCAGACTGTAAAACCTTGGGAAAGCAAAGATTTGGGCTGTAAATACTTTGATATGAGGTCAGTTGACAGTTCCAACTCTGAATCTGCTGTTTGATTTGTCCCTCAATGCAGTGGGTCCTTGCCTCTTGAATCTGACTGAATTCCGTGTCTGACAAGCCAAGTGATAAAATCCTGGGGCAGTAGGGATTGTCCTGTAAAGGTCACTTGAGCTCCCAGGTGCTCTTTCAACCTGCAAGGCTGAGGAAATCATAGGATAAAGATTTGCTTCTGGTCCTTAGTGCTGCTGGCTAAAAGAGTTGGTGGGTTCATGGAGCTGCACAAGGAATTTATTCACCTCAGGGCCAGTTCTCAAGCCTGCAGCAGTCCTGTAGGTGTGTGGCATGGCTTTGGCTGAATAAAATGTGCTGAATTCCTCATGTGAGCCCTGGAGAAATGGACAATCCAGCAGTGCCAAGATTGAGGCACCCAGCTGGGAGGAACTGGAAAGATGGATATCCTGAGACATTGTGGGGCCAGGGACAGGCTGGGCCTCATCCTGCTCCACACCCCATTCCCAGAGCTGTATCCCAGCCTGGCAGTGTCCACTAATCCCTGGCACAGCTGAGGCGATGTCCACGCCTGTCCCTGGAGCCCCAGTCCAGCTCCTGAGGGACCACGTGCCTGGGGGTCCCACCTGGGGGGAGAGCCCACGAGGGCCAGGGGGCAATGAGGGTGTTGTACCTGTCACCTCCTGCAGCTCCTGTCAGCTGAACACTGCTGGAACCCAGGGCTTGGTAGCTGTGTGTGTGATTTTCTATCTCCCTTCTGTCTTTCTCTCCTAATTCCCTCTTCTTGGAATTTTTGGGTAACTTAAAATGGCTTAGTTTGTTAAGTTAATGCTTTCAGAAGTGTTTTATGTTGATTGAATGTTGCGCTCAACCTTTTGCCACAGTTCTCTGATTTTCTCAGCTTGCCAGGCAAGTCTTTAGTGTTGTTTTGACCTCTTGAGGATATCTTGTCAGTATTTCCCCCATGTGTCTAACTCAGAGTACAGGAACCATTGTAAGTCCTTTTAAAAGCCTCATCAGGGGAGTTTTCTGGGGCCTTAGAGCAGCTCAGTGGATTGAGGACAGTTGCAGGTAGGAGTAAGTCCTTGTTGGAATATTCTGTGATTTTTAAATACTGTACTGGATCTATGTTTTCTGTTATGGAATTAGGTCAAGGAGTTTGTTTTCTGGCATTTTCCCCTCTGCATCTCTGTCACATTTTTGCAGTCAAATTCTTCTCTAAAGTACTTGTCAATTAAAAATTCAGGGCTTCTGTTCTTATATTGCACCAGCACTTGGAGAACAGGGTTGGGGTGTTAAGACCTGAATTTGTGTTACAGTAGTGTTGCTTGAAGATGAACTTCAGAAAACTCATGTTTTTCTGGACCTGGAATGCCTTGTTCTTTGCAGCAGCTGTTCTGTAAATGCTGAGTTTTTTAGTGATGTCTAATAGCAAATTCTTAGACAAATTCACCCACTTTAGCCAACAAACATTTTGTAATACCCACAGAGAAGATTAAATAACTGGATTTTCCCTTTCTATCTTGGGTTTGGATTTTTGCCTCCCAGTATTCAAAATGTATTTTCCTCAGAGAGAGATGCTATTCTAGAGTTCAGTGAAATGATGACACCAACTCTTTAAAACCTCCTTGGCACGAGTTTGTAGTGGGTTTTGTTGCTAACTCAGAATGGTCTCCATGGTTCCCAGTGTTGGTCCCAGTCTCTGAATTCCTGTGTGATGTCAGAGCATTTGTCCATGTCTCTCCCATGCCACATAAATTCTGTATAATGTATAGCATTAGACTGGTGTGAGGTGTGAATTATGTGAGTTGCTGTAGCTGAAGCCTGAGAAGGAGCAGCCAGTATTTAACTTCCTCACATTCCTCCGTCCTAGCACAGAAAACCTTTTATACACAAATCTTTCAAGTACTTCTGGCTCAGGTTCTGCATTTTCCCTTTTGTTTGTACTCTGAATCCCTACACACCAGCCCTGGTCAGCCTGACCTCCTATTTCTGCCACCTGCGCTCCACAGTACAGATTGTTCAGAAATTCTTCTCTATAAATCTGATGCCCATCAACACCTGAAATGTGTTGTTCTTCTCTGTCAGTTGTAAATACTTTTAAAAGCCATTTTGCCATTTCTGTTCCCTGTGTACTTGTTCCAGTGCAGATCTGCTGTTTGTGTTTTCCAAGTCACTTCTTTCGCTCCTGCAGCTCAAATATCAGCAGATCAGTTGGGTGCTGCAGTCTCAGTCTCTCTTACAAATTCCTCTACAAACTTGGCCAAATCACTGGGTTTTTCAGTGTTCTGTTTGTAAGCTGTGAAAAGGCACCTGACTCTTCTCTCATGGTGCTTTTTACCTTTTCAAAGCAGTGTGTGTTCACACACACTTTGAAATTCAGCAACAGTTGTTGCTGAATTATAAGCTAAAGCTTATTAAAAACAGTAATCATGGTCTGAAATTGCTTATGACCACTGTGTTCAGTGGGGTGGGGCAGGGAAGAGCTGTTCACTGCTTTGCTACAATGACCTGTAAATTTAAGCTTTACCTTCATTTCTCTGGGTTAACTGACTTTGCTTTGTTTTTCAGGAATGACAGACCTTCAAATCATGTTGGAGTGTTCTGGACCAGCACTGCTGCTTCTACCCTCACGCTGCAGTGGGGCTGTCCCTCCATCCAGAGCATTCCCGGTTGTGCTGAGCAGGACGTGGTGCTCTCAGGGAAAGGTGAGTCCTGACCAGCTCCCTATGCCATGGTTCCCACCTGAAAAAGTGAGTAGGAAGTTGTTCCTTCCCTCTATTCCTTGACAGCAGTAAAAATGTTTGGGGTTTTCCAGGTTGTTTTGTTGTTGTTTTTGTTTTGGAGATTTTTGGGGGGGTGGGGGGTGGTGTATTTTATTTGTTTTTTGGGTTGTTTTTTTCTTTTTTGTTGCTTTTTTGGAGTTTCCCAAGGAGGCTCATGCTCACACAGGGCTTTGTGCAGTCCTTGCACAATGGGGTGCTGAAAATCCCCTGGTGCTTTATAGACTAACTAAAACTAATTCTATTTATCTTTTAATTGAGCCCCTTGGAGGCAGCAGCTGGTGTGTTTGTGGATATTCATCACTTTTTTAGTGCCCTCTCTCCTGGGTTGAGCTGGCTCCTATTTTTGGCACATGCATGTGGCTCAGCAGAGCCCATTTCCCAGTCCCTCCAGAGCACGTTCTGGAATTGGCCAATTCCAGCTGCCTTTGGCTGCACATGGGAAGTGACACACGACACTTGAGAGCACGTGAGGGGAGGATTCAGTGTTTGCACCACAGACAGTCTATGGAACCTCAGCTCCCTCGAAATAATTAACTTCATATTTATTGTGTAGGAGATTTTGAGCAACTTGGAAAGGCTGGTGAGGGTGGGGACAGGCAGTTATTTTGTTTGTATAGTGTATCAGGAATGTTCCTGCATCCTTTTCCCTGAAAGCCAACTCTGAGTGTTGGATGCTCATTTGGTCCCACAGCTCCTGAGGCACCGATTCTTTCTGGGAATGTCCATGTGGACACATCCAGTGTGGAGGAGAAAACATAGTCTGGCTCCTCAGGTTGAGGGAGAGGCTGGTTCCCAAGTAACCATGGCAACCAGGCTGTCACTGGGAGCATCAAGACATTTACATACCAAAAATAAAAAAGCCCAAACTCACAACAGACATTACTGCTCCAGCCCATTTGGAGATCTTGCCCTCAGTTTGGTTCCTCAGGGATGTTGGCAGCAGTGGCAGGTGAGGAGATTTTCCCCTTCTTTATCTCCTGCATCAGCAGCAAACGTCATTTCTGGTGATAAACCTAATAATGGCTTACAATTAAAAGGGGATATTTGAGTTTCAAGTTGGAGAAACGCTGAAGACAATTTTATGTTCACCTGAAAAAGTTTCCATCTGTCACACACTTCCCAACCCATTGTGCTCCCATCAATATTTATAACACCCAGCCCAATGTTTTCACAGAAGAAGCATTAATATAACATATCAGCTCTGGTGACAAGTTACATTTTATTGCTGTCAACAAACAAAGATGTTCTTTGTCTGCAAACTCTCCTTTTTTCCCTTTTTTTAATCAACCGTTAGCTTTGACTTTTGAAGGAAATGTGTAGATGTGTTTTCCAATGTTTTCTGGAGGGCTACTGGAGACATGACAGATGGAGCTTGTAGGAGCTGATAGAAGACACTGATTAATTTTCCAGGAGATAAAATAATAGTTTTGGAGTAGGTTCTTTGCTTGGGATGATGAAAGTCACCAAATTCCTAAGGAGAACCAGGGAACTTCAGGAGGTGAGTATCCAAAATAAAGATTTAATTTTGACAACACCTCAGAGTATCAATCACAGCGCCGTTGTTCCGCTTTAATTCCGTTTGTACTTTTTCCCACAGTAAAAGGGACAGGGGCCAGATCAAAGCCATAATACTTGGGAGTCTCATGTCACTGCATCAGGGTGTCCCTGTCCTGCTCAGAGGGACACCCTGGGGCTCTGCCACAGCTCCTCACACCTCTCTCCACCTCTCACCCCTGCTCTTTCAGGAGCCCTCTGGAAAAGCTGTGTTTGGATGCACTCTACAAACCGTGTCCCTTTTATTTCTCTTCCCGTGCCAATGAGTTGAGGGTTATCAGCGTGTATGGAAGTGAGAAATTTGATGTAAGTAGTTTTGGGTTTGGTTGTTTTTTTAACAGAAACCAGTTTAAAAAGGTACTCATGCTAGTGAAACTAGTCAGCTCCAATGGTTTTAGCTGGATTTAAGTAGCAGTAGGAGAAATATGGAGTATCAGTACCAAACCTGTCAGCTCTGCAGCTGGCTAATGGAACTGATAACTGTGTGATGATCTCCTGCTAATACCCAATTTTTAAACCACTTAAAATCCAATAAAATAGCTCCATTCCACACAACTATCCATTGAATAAACTGTGCCTTGTTGTTCCAGAATTCCCTTTTCCAGTCCTTGTGGAGCTGTCCAGCTGCCAGATCTGTTACAGCAGCCACATGACCTGCACACACCTGCCATTATTCCTTACCATGAGCTCTGAGGGAAAGGTGGGAGCACCTGGGAATAATCCTGAGCTTCCATTGAATTTTGGAGCTGATTACAGAGACTCCCATTTCTCTGGAGGAAGTGTGTGTCATCCTTGGTGCTCTGCCAGGTTCTGTTTAATTGCTCTTTATTAAGAGCAGCCCTAGGCACAAGATAATCTTTATAGAGGCCACGATCCATCCTGACCCAGCTGCATCCCACGGCTTGGGAGGAACCAGCTCCGAGGCTCAGCCAGGTAAGACTCTCTCAGAGGTGTAGAAAAACCAAATGCAAGGAGGTCTCCTCACGAGGGTAAAGGAACTCATGATTTTAATTTTCTGATTGTTAATTTCCTCTCTCATTCTGCCATGTGGTGCATCTCTCATCTCATTTGGAAAAGCAAGGGAGAAATGGAAACACACCCAGAGATCAGCAACACTATTCTGACAGGGCTGGTGATGGCAAAATGATCACCCTCAAGCTGTGCTCACTCATTTGGCTCTCATTTGAAGGTCATGGCTTTGAGTATCTCTGCAAACAGTGCACAGGGCTATGACCAAAGTGTAGGGGGAAAAATTCTAGACTGTGATCAAAATAAAAAAATCCTCTCCAAACCCAAGAGTCCCTAGGTGTCCGTAATCAAACTGTGGTTGTAATTTGTGTAGCCTGAAGATGTGGCCAGTCCATGAGCTGGTGACCTGGAAATGCACTGGGCGTCCCAGCGTTACTGAGCTCAGCATTAACTCCACTGAATCTGGAGGCATTGGGATCTGTCACCAATATGGTGACAATCAGAAATTTTAAAAAATAGCCAACAAAGGGAAATCAGGTTTTTTTCCTTTCCTGTTTTCAGTTTTACAGCACCAGCACAGTCAGGGAATGTTGCATTTGTGCTCTTCAGCTGGATGTGCCATTGGATATTTTGGTTCTCAGTGTGGAAAAGAGGCAGTTTGAAGTCAGCTACTGAAAAAATAATTTTGAAGGTGTTTTTAATGTCTTGCTTCAAGAAAGACAGTGGGTGGAGCTTGGATTCAGGTAGCAAATCCAATTTCCTGTCCTGAATGGCAGTGCCAGTGTGGCAATTAGACCATGAAGGACAATACTAATTGTAAGGTGTATGTGGGTGGGGAAAAAAAAGGATTCACTTATGATTTCACATGTTCACATTTCACATGATGATTATTTCAGTTTCCTTGACAACTTCCACTGTGCAGCCTGAGTATCCCTGAGAATTCCACTTGGAAGCAAGTGGGCAGCAGGTAGATACTGGAGATGGGAATGCTTTGAGGGAGAACAGTGGGAAACTTTGGTTCAAACCTGTTTTACTGTGGTTTTGTTCTTCCCATCAAACGCTGTGTCATTGTTTTCACTTCCCATTGAACTGGTGGTGGTTCTTTAGAGGTGCATATGGCACCAGGAAGAGCAGTGGAAACGTTTACTGAAGTCCCTTTTTTATTTTTTCATTGGGAAACTGAATGGTCACTAAATTGTGTAACATAAACAGTTACAGCAGAGTAGACTTTGGTTAGAGATAGAGCAAAACCAGTTGAAAAAGCAGTAGAAAAGGATTTTGCTTCAGTATTTCAGATACAGAATCCCTGCAGCTCTGGGCTCTGGGCTTGTCTTCATCAGTCCCTCTGCTCCCAAGCATTAAATCATCACAACCAAAACCTCAAAGAGCTCAGAAGGCTTTAAAAAAAGACGAAGTGTTGGGTTGTTTAGCTTTTCCCATCCATCATTTCAATCTTTGCATGATATCTTCAAAGATTTTCTTTTTAATAAAAATGGGATTGCTCTGCAATCCCATGAGAGATCCTTTCAGGGAGAAAGTAAAATTGCAAGACCCTAAAAATCACAAGGAATGACAATGAAGTTGGGTTACAGATGTAATTGGCTTTAATTGAAAAACCATCTACTGGAAAAAAACCTCAAATGTAGCTGAACAATGCTACAGGTCAAAGGAAGTTCCTGAGGAGAGAGGTAATGGTTATAGGGGATCAGGAAAGGAACAAGGGGTGCTTAACCCAAAAGAGGAAAAATGGAATCATTTACTTTATACATCTCCACATAAATAGAATTATATATATATATTTAGATGTGTATATAAATATATAAATACTATTGCCCACTGTAAAGCTTTTTAGCTCTCTTGTACAAAATATTACTGGGAAAAAAAGTTTAAAGATACTCTTTAATACCCTTACTTCCCTTGCCTTCCCTGTCTGTGGTACCTGCAATAAAAGTGGAGCTAATTGTGTTTCATGTTTGGACACACATTTTGATTTGACCACAGGAAAGTGCCACTCCAGCTGTTGCTGGAGGTTTTTTTTTGGATGAGTATCCCAGTGTACTTCCCAGGGACAAAATGCCCTCTGGAACCCAATGCCAGCTCAGGCCAGAAGGGCAGACTTGGCACATGTGGTGGTTGCTGCTGTCAACAAAGTCTCTACATGAGGTGGGTGTGCTGAAAAGGACAATTTATTGTGATTCTAGAGAACTGTGATCAGGATTTACAGCTCCAGTGCATCCTTGATACACCCAGCGCCAGATGTTAAATGAAGGAGTTTGTGAGGTATCTTTTTAGTTTCTCCAAGGTGCTGGTGCCAGATCGAGTGCCAGCTGCTCATTTTAATATGAAAACTTCCTGGTGTGTTAACTCAGCCTAATATCCCCTAAAACAGACACTTTTTTACTGTAATTTATATGTGACCTTTATGAGCAGAGAGTCTGAGAACACAGGGAGGTTAATGAATTCTGTCTTTTCTCACCAGTGTGAGGCACTGAAGTAATAATCTCTGGTTAGAGAAGGGAAAAGAGGGCACACGTCATGTCCAATATTTTAGCCTGTGGCTGAGCTGTGAGCTAAACTCAGCTCTCCAGAGCCAGGCTCAGAGCTGAAGCAAATAGGTCACTCTTGCTCTCACCAGACCATCCATGGGACAAATTGCAGTGCACATTTAAAAAGCACTGCAAGTTTTGGAATCCAGGATCCAAATTATCTTCTGCAGATTTTGCCCTCATTGCGCTGCCCCCAGCTCTCGGGGTGGCTGTGTCGTGTTGTAACGAGTGCCAGGGCTCTGTGTTTGCTGGGGAAAAACAACACTTGGGGCAAAGACAGCAAAGGCTTCTTCTCTCCTGAAACCATTCTGTGTGGCTCTGGGCCAGGGGAAACACCTCTCTCATGACAGAGCCACTGCTGGAACACATTGGAACAGCCTTCCTGTTACCACTAGGGCTTTGTTAACTTGGGACATTTGCAAATCAAGTTCAAACAATTTTGCTGCTGCCTCCTGTAGCACAACCCCCTCCCAGGTCATGGCAGAGCAGGGCAGGACCTACAAGGCACAAGGGGGTGATCCTCTTCCCTTCTTTCACTTCACTGTTTCCAGTTTTCCTTCCTTCTGGTTCTGCCCTTCCATCCTTCTTTCTGTTCTTCTCTCATCTTCCATCTCATTTAAATCAGTTTTTTATCCTTCATTCCCTTCTCTCTGTCCTTCCTTCTGCCACTGCTTCCATTTGTCCTTCTTCCTTCTGTTTTTTCATCTGACTTTGCATCTATTTTGCCTTCTTTGTCTATGCATGTTCTTCTCTCTACCCTTCCATCCTCTTTCCATCCTTCTCTTCTTCATTCTGCACTCCACTCCTTCCTTCCTTTCCCCTTGTTTCCACCTTTGTTCTAACAGTTTATTTCCATCCATCTCTCCTTTCCTCTGCCCTTTAGTGTCCCTCTTTGCACCCATTCTTACCTTCTTTTCGTTCTTCCTGCCTTCCTGCCTGCCTTTTTCATTTTGTTCCTCCATCCCTAAGTCTGTCCTCCCTTGCATCCATTCTTACCTTATATACCCATTATATATCAAATCCATATATTTATAGTGGATAAAACTGACCTTTTCCTGGCCAGGAGCAGCAGATCCCCATTTGTGCTCCATTTGGGGCTTTCTGTGTGTCCATCTGTCCCTTGTCCCTGTGCTGCCACACTGATGGTGGCACCTGGGGGCAGCTGAAGGGCCTTTTCCCGCTGCTGCAGGATGAGCTCCATCACTACCACGCAGAGCACACGTGGAGTAAGAGGAGTTTGCTTTTCACAAGTGCTGTGCTGCAGTGCATGGCTTTGCTGGGTTCCCAGTGAATATCCTGTGTGACTCCCCACCTTCACATTCCTCTGTAATGCAGCTCAGGTGAGGAGAGCAGCATCAACAGTGTGGATTCAGGCAGTGTGTGCTTTTGGCAAGAGCCCCGGCAAGTATTGCTGCCATCCATCTCCCATTACTGTGCTGACACCTTCAAATGGCAGCAGCCTTTACAAGCTGTGTTGGGAATTATCCTGCAGCTGCTCGCTGGAATCGCTGTACACGTGTTTATCCTTCCCTGCTCCCAGCTTCCTACCACACTGCTTTGCCAACAAGGGGAAAAAAAGGTGTTTATCAACACAGCGCCATTTTGTGCACGGCTCCTGCAATTCTGAATGGATTCTGTTTGGATCTGATACCCAATATTGTCCATCCAAGGAAAACAAAAGAGCCCAGGGGTGATAATCTGCAGTAGTTTACTGCAACACACAAACACCCGCTCTTGCTTTTTCCCAGCCATAAATTGTAAATGATGCTGGTGGGAGGAAAAGGTTTTTCCTCTCTCTGGAACAATTCTGAATACCTGTTCTGACTTACAGGACCTGGATTGATCTGCCTGCTACCCTGCTGCAATTGGAGTGATAGAGCTGCAGAAGAAAAGCTTTTGTTTAATTGAGATAATACTGTATTTTTCCTTTAGGGGAGAACTGAAGTATGAGGGATGTTCTTCCTGCACTAAAACGACACTGGCAGGTGAAGTCCTGACAGCAAAGCCCTAATTCAGCACTTGCTTAGTTCTGCTGACTAAACAAGGCCCTGTGCTGAGCTGTGAGCACCGCCGGTGTGCCACGGTGAGACCCAGTGCACTGAGAGCAGTTTCTGTGCCCAGACACATCCCTGGCACTGAGCTGGGCACTGGCTCAGAGGGGATGTGGAACTTCCCTCACAGCTGGAGCAGGTCAGCTACCCTGGTTCTGGCTGCTCTCAGAATGAAGGGGTTTTCCCCTTCTTCTCATCCTGAGTGAGGATTTGAAGCACTGCTGGACATCCCTGCCCTTGCCTCAGGCTGCAGCTGTGCAGTGCCCGTCCATGTGTTTGCCTCCTGGCCAGGGGCAGTCCCCGGGAGGGACCGGCTGCTGAGGACACTCTGGACACAGGGACAGGCCTGGGGTGGCTGTGCCAGATGGTGCCTGAGCTCCCCAGGGCCCCAGACACTGTTTGGGGTGATGGTGTCCTCAGGAATTCTGCTCTTCCCCTTGCCCTGCCAGCAGCTGAATTCAGCACTTTGAGGGAGCAACACAACACCCACGGGGGGAGCTCCCATCCATGAGCCAGGGGCTGCACACTAGAAAAGGCCATTTTATTGTTCATTTCTGGGATATCTGTGCTCAGCTGCCAGTCCCAGTGCCTTCACCTGGTAAGAGCTTTGGGAAATGTCTGTTCCTGACCTGGACTGTGTTCCCAGCTTGGAATTGCTGTAGGTCTTGTGCTCAATGTGCCACTGGTGTCACTCTCTGGTTCCTCACCTGCTTCTGCAGACACAAGGGGCTGGCACTCTAAATTTAAAAAAAAATAATTAAAAAAAGGCACCAAAGTCTGCTTAATTTGGAACTGTAGCCTGTTTCTTTGGGAAATACTGTGCTTCAATGTGTGCAAACCCATTGCTTTGATTCCATAGGATTTCTTCAGCTGTAATCATGGCCTTTAAACAAGGAGGTTTTTACAAATACATGTAACTCAGAGCCACAGAAAGTTGTTTTCTTGGAGAAAAGGCAGTACACATTTACTTTATCAAATTGAGGACAATATTAAGAGGCAAGGGGGAATTTTTAAATTTTTTTAAATAAAAAAAGGCTGAGTTGCTGCATTGCCTTGCTTTACCATCAGGAATGTTTCTGGCAGTGGCAAAGGGAGGCCTGAAACCCTTTATTCTGGCCAGGGTTTAGTGTGGGTTAGTGGGCATCCCTTCAGGAGACAAACCAGGGCAGTGACCCCTGTGCCAGGGGGATGAGGGTCAGTAATTATTCCCTACCTGCACTCCTCTGGCAGGAACCCATCCACCCCCACAGACCAGCCTAGGCAAAGCCAGAGGGAGGGAGGGAGGGAGAAGCTTTAAGCTCCAGAAATATTTTATGTAAAGCTCTTTTTCACAGTCTACTTTTGTTTTGAACCAAAATTATCCTGCTTTACTTGTGTCTTGAAGAGATGAGGAAATAATAACAATCACTTCTTTTCATGGACTGTCACCTCAGCACACAACCACGAGTTTTAGTGGTGGGATGGGATCCACACCATCAGCCACCACTGAACTGGGGAGACTCTGTGACTTAGAGACATCAACTGGACTGTTCAGAGGAGGGGAGAAATCAGTAACAGATTTATAGAAGGGAAATATATCTGGAATATTTGGGCTGATAACTTGTTTGTAAAACAATGTTTAAAAATAAGATGGGAATCTGGCTAGGGAACAGGTGCCCACATTCTCTTCCTTATATCCCATACACTTGCCCAGGTATTTCTGCCTGATACTAAACTAAACATTTAATAAAATATTACAGCACTAATTCCTTCATTACTTGTCATTTAGATGATAATCCAGTTGTCCCAGTCAAATCCTGCCTGGCTTTCTTTACCTTCTTAGCAATGCAGACTGGACAGATTCCCTAGAGCTGCCCTTCAGAGCCAGCTCAGGCTTTTTCCCCAGGATGTTGCAGGAACAGCAAATTTCTGCTGTGTGCGAAGCAGTAGGGCATGATGATAAACAGATAGATGAGATAGCAGATATGTCAGATAGACAGACAGACAGACAATAAATCTGTCTCTCTGTACCAGCCCAAGCTGCTGTTGCTCCATGGGCAGCACAGAGTGGAGTGTGGCACTGCACCCTCAGCTACCGTGCCTGGGACAATGTGGTGACAGCTCTCCAGCCCGTTCTGCCCTCCCCTCCACATCAAAAGTGTTCAAAAATATAAGAAAAATATTTTTGCATCC